ACCGCGTTGAAAATTGGTTGCCGTAAGCTCACCATAAGGGAATCACATGGCCCCAGGACACTATGGCCGTCATAAGTATGAGTCAGTGGTTTTGATCACGTGACCGCGGGGTTGCTACAAAGGTCGCAAATGTGAAAAATGGTCATGAATCTTTTTTTTTTCAGTGCCGTTGTAACTTTGAAGGGTCACAAAAGGGATTGTTGTATGTCGAGGACTACCTAAACTTTGAGCCGAAAGTCAAAATAGCAGAGGGGAAAGTTGGCTCTGTTCTCCTGCAAACCTCAGGTAGTCCTCGACTTACAACAGTTTCGTTTAGTGACCATTCAAAATTACAACGGCACAGGAAAAGGAGGCTTGCGACCGTTTTCCACCCTTACGACCGTTGTAGCTGCATTTCCCACGGTCATGTGATCAAAATTCGCCCCTTTGGCAACTGACTCATGTTTATAACGGTGACAGAGTCCTAGGGGGGTCACGTGATCCCCTTTTGTGACCTTTCCGATGAGCCAAGTCGAGAGAGAAGGCAGATTTGCTTAGCAACCATGTGACTAACTTAACGTCCGCAGTGATTCGCTTAACAACGGTGGCAAGCAAAGTCAAACTCAGTTAGCAAATGTCTCACTTAGCCAAGTGTCTATAGAGATTCTCAGTCCCCCAGGTTCTGATTATCCTAAAAGTGCCTTTTCAGGAGCCAACTGGACTTTCTGTTTTTTTCTTCGAAGACATTTCGCTTTTCATCCAAGAAGCTTCTTCTGCTTCTTGGGGAAGAGAAGGATTGATACTCCTTGCAGACAGCTGGTCATTTGCATCCTTCAAGAGGGCCGTTGAGGCCACTTGGAGGTTTATCTGGGAAGGATTTATGCTCCTTGCAGACAGCTGGTCATTTGCATCCTTTCAGAGGGTCGTTGAGGCCACTTGGAGGTTTATCTGGAAAGGATTGATATTCCTTGCAGAGAGCTGGTCATTTGGATCCTTTTAGAGGGTCGTTGAGGCCACTTGGAGGTTTATCTGGGAACGATTTATATTCCTTGTAGAGAGCTGGTCATTTGCAACCTTTTAGAGGGTTGTTGAGGCCACTTGGAGGCTTATCTGTGTCCTCAGGGTCACTTGAGTGGTGCAAATGGTTCCTGCAGTTTGCAATTTTTCCTCTGGAAATCCATTCCCACTCCCACGAGCTGTTTAGGCAACTTGGAAGGACTCATTTATCTGTGTCCTCAGGGTCACTTGAGTGGTGCAAATGGTTCCTGCAGTTTGCAATTTTTCCTCTGGAAATCCATTCCTACTCCCACGAGCTGTTTAGGCAACTTGGAAGGACTCATTTATCTGTGTCCTCCGATAAATGGGTCCTTCCACACCCATTTGC